AAAGTAAAAGTGATAGTTTAAATCCTTATAGTATAGTACAAGTCAGTTACCTACGTCCGTCTGTCCGTTACACGTGGTTAGATTCCTTCCGATCCACCAATAGAAACAAATGCAGTGTCATTAGACACATCTCGGTCTCCAGGTGATGAACCTTTCAGAAAGGTGACCAATAGGTCAATCGATTCCTCTCGACTAGAGAAATCGATGCACACAATTTTTATCCAGTTTCCTCCGTTATATTAAGGAAGAATTCTAGAAAAGCGTAGGGTTTTATGTTATTGTAGTATGGATTATTGTGAGAGTCTCATGTTGTCGTAGAATCATTTGAACTATATTGTCACCGGAGACAAACATACATGAAAGAGTTGGTAGAGGTATGAAGGCAACGACATACATTAAAAAGAAGACGAGTTAAAACTGTTTGATTTCAGTAAATATAATACATAAGATCGGTTATTTTTCCGTAATTTCTCCAATCAGTACCAGGTGAATGTCAGAACAGTACCCTAAAAACGCGCAACGGACCGCATGCGATATTTCCTTCCTCTTCCTTTTCCTATACTGACCTCTTAACAGTCCACATCCATTAGACTACCACTCATGTCGAGAGACCAGTCGGGAGCTTAGAACTGGCAGGAGCGGTGCCCCCGCTGGGAGAGATACGTAGACGAGGGAAGCCCTCGTAGTTGAGGTGAGGGACGGCGCTGGATCACACCTTTTTATTGGGATTCACTGCTACCTCCCAGAGGAAACATTGATTTTTTGTGTTTCCGGACGCGTCAATTGCAATCACATTTTATCACTGGAGATAGCGGTGATTTTCTCCGTTGAATAGCGTATGTTAAAAAAACATGTATGTTAAAAACAGCGATGTTTCTACAAAAGCATCAGTGTTAATACATCGAAGTGTGAACATGGATGTTTCTACAAAAGCCTGGCCATGGCTGTCGCGTGCTTCCGCAGGACCCGTGCTGGGTGACGGCGCCGATGGTGCGCGCGGCGCTGGAGCGGCGGCGCGCGGAGAAGGCGGCGGCGGAGGGCGCGTGGCGGCGGCGGGAGGAGCGCGCCCAGCGCCAGCGCGAGCGCCAGGCCGAGGCGGAGCGCGCGCGCGCCGAGCGCCACCTGCTGCTGGAGCAGGCGCGCCAGCGGGCGGAGGACCGCGACCTGGAGCGCGCCAGGCGCAAGCAGGCCACCTGGATCAAGGTTTGCTCCGGAGGGGATACCCAAGCACTGTAGCCCTGACCCAGTGTTGCCATATCGGCGGAATTCCCGTCGTTTTCAGCGGATTTTGAACTCGTACGGCGGGGAAAAAAATAGTTTCGCGGACAGCGGAATAAACGGCGGAAATTAATAAAGACGGTGGAAAATAAGCGGAATTTTAAATCTTCACTATTAAGGCCTGGACACATAGCGTGTTCGAGCAGAAACATTTTAAAATAATAATAAAAGACAGACTACTCAGTCTACATACTAATCCGGCATACTAATAAGTGCGTCCTTTATTATTATTTTAAAATATTGTAGCTCGAATACGCAAATAACGACTGCTATGACCAAGAATAAGCAATTGTCCTTATCTATTTCATGCATTCATAAGCACTTGTTCTTTTCTATCATTATTTTCTATAGTTTGTTTTAATAGAATAAATTAATACAATATTTAAATACGGAAAAATAATTTATTTTACGTTTAGCGGATTTATGCGGGAAATTTAAAACAAGTTCAGCGGATTTTCGGCGGAAACTGAAACAAACATGGCGGAATCCCTCTAAACACATCTGGTAACACTGCCCTAACCTGTTCTTGGGTCGACAGCCCGATACGGGCCTTGGCCAACTGGCCTCTAGGCCTCGAGATAAGGTGTTGGTGTGGTTAGCACGTAGACATCCTTGCACCGTATATACTGTTCTTTTTCCCCTTAGGTTGGCCTTTCTCATCGTCATAAAACAATATATACTGGCACATTTGCAAGGAAAGCGCACAGTTTTGCCGCGGCCGGGATTCTAACCCGTCGTTGCGCCCTGGAAAGTGAGCACGCTAAACAACGAGACACCGAGGCCCTAAAATAGTTAAGTCAAAGTGACCAATCGAGTGGAAAAAAATGTGAGGGGGTGTGCCAGGGGCGAGGCGGCCATTTGAAAGTGATTTTTCGACGTTTTATGCATATATCTCCTTAACTATTAATCGCACAGAAAATTATATTTTACACGAAATTAAAGTACATAAAATTTTCTACAATTAAGTTCTTATAAAATTTTGTTGTGGAATTGACCATTTTACAGATACAGGCTTGAAAATTTGTTTTTGTTTACGACAAGGCTCTAGTTAACTCTCTAATTTTTTGAATTTGCAGAAGTACATAGCTCAGTAACTGTAACTATACATATGTATTAAGACGTACTTACTATACTTAAAAGTAAACTTACATACCATTATAAGGAGGAGGAATTCCCATTAAGAGATCCTCAGTCAGGATCTAAATCTGCAATTTTTTTAGGGTGTTTTTTTTTTTTTTTTATTCTTGTTTGGAACATGGGGGTTTTGGCCAGTTTGAAGGGTGAAGGGCGGGGATTTGAGCTAGGGTAAAATAAAAGTAGAAGGCCAGATACGTTGTTCTATAGGTTCCAGGTTAAATTCATTATGGGGTTGGTTGTTGGTTATATACGAAGGGCCATGTGCAACTATTCTTAAAAATTTATTTTGCAGGACTTGTAGTTTGTGAATGTTAGTTTTGGAAGCGTTGATCACATTGCACTCGCATATAGCATTAGTGGTCTTAAGATAGTTTTGTAAATTGCTATGGCTGATTTGTAGAGTATTGAACTGTATCTGTAGATTACAGGTCGTAGCTGTGACACTTTTATTTGAGCTTAGGTTACCTTGACATTCATATGTTTTCCCCAATTTAACTTGGTATCTAGGTATAAACCTAAATATTTAATGGATTTATTAGAGGGATGCTTATCTATTGTATTGTTATTTAGCGTGAGGGGGAGAGTATGGTTTTAATGTAAATATTTAGGCTTTAATTGAATTTTAAGTTTGGCGGCTCAACTGTCTATCATATTTAAATAAAGTTGTATGTGAGTTCTCAACCCGCGGAGGTCTGTATCGAAGGTAAAAATGGCCGTGTCGTTTGCAAATTGCGCAATCGAAATTTTATTTAGTGCGGGTATGTCAGCAAGATAAAGGTTGAATAGAGTGGGAGGGGGTTGTACGCAACTATTTTTTTTTCAAAGTGGGGTTGTTAGATATTATTGATACTGCTATTTTTTCTAACCCTGGTGTATTCGGGAGAGCTTCCTGGTTGTGTGTGTGTGTCCGATCTATATATTTTAAAGTTGGGAATAAATAGTTTGTTTTTATTGCTTAAGTGCGTTTCGGTAATATAAGCTATGTCTACGTTGTAGTGGTGGAGGAAATGGATGAGTTCAGTTTTTTGTTCGTGATTGAGTTTGCGTTCCAGTTTAGGATGATAATATTTCTTTGAATTTTATCTGCCATTATTTTTTATAAGTATTCGGTTACGGAATTTTGGATAGTACTAATTATGGATGGGATAAGTGAGTTGATGAAGTTAATGATGCAGGAGGTGATGGAGTTGATTATTGTAGTGATTATTGGGTTGTTAGAGTGGGTCTCTAGTGCAGGTACATCATCACTCTATTCACAAAATCGGTTATCCCGTTTGCAGTTATATAAACTGGGATCTAACGGATTATCAGAAACGTCTTTTCCATGAATTTTCTTTTTATGTTCGTGAGAATCAATAAAATCACTGTCTGACCTTGCAAGATTCCTGTTGATGATGACGACTGCTCGTTGTGCAGCGAACCAACTGTGATGCGCGGATCCATGCTGCCTTCAGCGGGGGGCGAGTTTCGAGTTACGTATCCATCGATACACTGGTTATTAACTCTTGTACTTGATGCACTGCACTGCTGGAGAAACGACTGATGTTGCCTACATTGCGTAGATAGTGTTAATATGGCCTGCGAAAGTACAATACCCGTGGATTGGTGGGCTTCATTTTGCATTAACTATGCAAAATGAAGAAAATCTATCGTTTATTTGAATGAAACGTTGATAAATGGAAATAACGGCAAAATCTGCGAATACTACTCAACTTAGCCTCGTTGCACGTTATCTAAAGACTGTCACAACTCTAACTGCGGACGGCGTATCGCGCGGAGCGCTTTGAGGTGTTACCCCGGCAGCAGCTGAGCACGAACTGATCTCTCTAATAAAAATGATGTTATGGTAAGTTGAATGCACAGAAGTAATTCTATTTCAGTTCAGCATTTATCAACAATATGTATTTGCATTTGCGTTACGATCCCTAATCGCATTTGCGATAAACTAAATCGAAAGTTTTCCTTTTGGGGCCTCCACTTTATTTCAGCAGGCTAGGGTTGCCTGGCTCGGAGAATGTAGTTCTTGTGGGAGAAACTGGGGTACGAAAACAATTGGGGAAAATTTTGTCGTTTTCTATCAATGTAACAATGCAAACTACTTAAGCAGTTCCTCCAGAAACATAAAAAATTAACAAAAATTAGTTCTTCTACGTAATTCAAACAAACGAGATATAATTTTACTGCTTGTTAGAGTAGAATTAATTCATTCAAAACTAGTTCATTTTCCTTTAAAAATTTTAACTGACTATTAATTCATTCAGAAAATTACGTTTTTAAACATTCACTCTACAATAAATAAAATATTACGTAGGCAAAAATAATATTTTTGAGACTTACTTGTTTCAAGCGATAAATCAAGTAGTAAAGTATATTTTTTATATGTTGCCTTTGTAACGAATTTATCTTCCCTGGATTTTATTGTGGCTTTCATCCCTCTACTATGATAATAATAATAATAATAATAATAATAATAATAATAATAATAATAACAACAACAACAACAAGACCAACACCATAACCATTTGAATTATTTTCCAAGCGCGGTGTGTAAAGACCTGTTTTTCGAAACAGAATAGCCCATTTACTATCATTTCATGATTTTTGAAAGCCGCTAGATTCCCGCCTTTGGGACTTCCGTGCGCCTCAACGTGCTGACGTGGCCGCTCGTCTCCCTTGCCGCAGCTGAAGAGCGACCCGTGCTGGGACGAGCCGCCGGTGCAGTTCAAGGTGCCGTCGACAGGCGGGATGCGGGAGGGCGCAGCGGCCGCCGCCGCGGACGACAGCTCCCTCGCGGTGACGCTGCCGCCCGACGACACGACGACGACGACATCGGAAGAATCGTCCGTAGTGTCGTCGGGCGACCGCCCGGTGGTGCGCCGCGTCCCTCACGCCAATCTCTCCAGGGTGAGTCCGGGCCCCCCGCCCCATCCCAAGCTGATCCGCTGTTCCTAAAAGCCCCCATTGCACATGCAATAACATTTTTTAATTTGTCTTATGGCACTCAGATTTTAGTTAGGAAGAAGAAAGTTAATATGTTACATCGGTATTTGGCATGTAAACGTTCCGATACCATCGCAGTGCCTAAAAATCGGAGGCGCGTTGTTCCTCATATATATATATATATATATATATATATATATATATATATATATATATATATATATATATATATATATATGAGACTTTCCACCATTTCCACCAAAAGTTCACTGTCAAATAGTGATCTGAGACCTTCTGTAGCATCCTTAATTGATTGATTAATGATTCCTCAGCTGCTCAGGTCATTATTCCCGTCAGTGTAGTGCATAATTTAGCGTGAGGGATGGCAGTGGTCTCTCCCTGATGGATGGCGAGATCCGGCGCCGACCTACCATTTGCTTACGGGGTTTACATCAACCAGGTATCTCTCACGAGCGGAGCACACCATTAGCCGGGAGAAGCTCTAAGCTCCTGACCGGTCACCCGGCATTTGTGGTAGTATGGTGAATGTAAGTGTATTTGAGGATATGTAATGGGGAGGAAAGATTGCGCGCGGTCCATGGCACATTTTTAAGAGTACTGCTGCGGTATTCGCCTGATATTGATCGCAGAAACAATGGAAAACTACCGATCAGAGCAGCTGGCCGCTAGAATTCTCCTGCAGACAGCGAAAATCGACGTACTTGCACAAGCTAGTGTCGGAAATCATGCCAATGTCGGAATTCGTACCTAGGTCTCCCGGTCAGAGAGCTTTTAGAGGTTTACGCGACGCAGTGATGTCGGATGAGGCCCTGAGCCACCTCTTCCTGTGTAGTATGCTTGATTGTCGTGTGAGTGGTCGTTGCGTTTTGTAGACCAACGTGGTGGCGTTCCTGCCAGCAAACCTCACGGCCACGCCCTTCAGTGTCGCCGCCGAGGGCCGCGCGCCGTCGCTGCTGCAGCCGTCCTCGTCCCAGAGCGCCGCGTACGCCCCGGACGCGCTCCAGCCGCCGCGCGCCTACACACACGTCGTCGTCGTTCAAGACAGTACGCTCGCTGCCCCCTACCTTGTCTTATCCTTCCTCTTCCTTCCTCTTCCTTCCTCCTCCTTTCTCCTCCTCCCTTTTCCTTCCTCCTCCTTCTTCCTTTACACACACGTCGTCGTCATCCGAGACAGTACGCTCCCTGCCCCCTACCTTGTCTTATCCTTCCTCCTCCTTCTTCTTCGTTCCTCCTCCTTCCTCCTCCTTCCTCCTTTACACACACGTCGTCGTCGTTCAAGACAGTACGCTCGCTGCCCCCTACCTTGTCTTATCCTTCCTCCTCCTTCCTCCTTCCTCCTTCCTCCTTCCTCCTCCTTTCTCCTCCTTCCTCCTCCTTTCTCTTCCTTCCTCCTCTACACACACGTCGTCGTCGTCGTTCAAGACAGCACGCTCGCTGCTCCCTTCCTAGTCTTCTCCGTTCTCTTCCTCATACACTACCCTTTGCCAAGCAAGTGCATTACCGTGGTAGCTGCCTTCCTTCCTAGTCTTCTCCTTCCTCCTCCTCCTCTTCCATTACCCGTTACAAGGGGCGTGCATCATTATGCTAGCTGGCGATCCCCGTCTTCCTTCCTAGTCTTCTTCATTAATAATAATAAATGAATCAATCCGAGCTCACTAAAAGCAGAGCCGCCTGTCGCTCCTTGGGCAGATCCGCCCAGCGAGGCGACGGAGGCGGCAGGCGGGCGCGCCTCTAAGGCCAAGCTGGCGGCGGCGGCGGCGGCGGCGGCGGTGGCTGCGACGGCGACGCAGGCGGCGGTGGCGGCGGGGGCGGGGGCGAAGGCGCTTGCGGACGCCGTGCGCGGCCACTCCGCCGACGCGACTCCTCACAGGTGGAAGTCGCGCGCGCGCCGGCTCAGGCAGAGCGTGCGGGGCGCGCAAAAGCCCGCCGACTTGCGAAGACACCCGTGGAGCTTTTAGAGGCTTATCGAGGGGCGGGGAAATGGTGGATCAGAGCTGTCTATTTGTCTGATCCTGATTCAATATGTGCGATGAGTAAGCTAAACTATGAGGAAAACATTTTATTCTGCTATTAAATTTAGAAAGTTGGAATCATTACTGTTCAGATAATATGTGTTACTGAGATCCTCCGTCAAAATAGATAATATTGTCACATAGGCAGCATTTTCGGCAAGGCGGTGAGATAGGCAGCACAAGGTGGTAAGGCATCGACTCTTATATATCTCATAATATTGTTCTTCAAATAGTTTTCTATCTTGGAGACGGAGCTTGGACTATCAATAATTAACACCTCGTTATGAATCAACATTCATCAGTTTTGTACATGTCTTGATATCCAATTTTATCAACACTTTTACTTCGATGTTGATCTATTAAAATTATTTCTTTTGTGATATTTCATAGACATGTACACAATGTTACTCATGCATATGCAATGGAATGGTGATATTTGGCAAGAGTGTGCCAAATAAAAATTCTGAGACCTAATCTGATTCTATGTGCGTTTCATTGCGAAAAAAATTAAATCTAATATATAAAAGTGAATGTTTGTTTATTGGTTCATTCTTAATGCGCTGCCGTACCTGTCATTCGATTTCGATAAATATTTGTCAATTTATTTTATGCACTAGTGGAAAGGATATAGGTACAGTAAAAGTATTACTGTTGCTAAGTGTCTCCGCTTGACGTGGGTCGAGGCAGAGGACAGGAGGATCGGGCGGCACAAGAATGAAGGTGGAGAGAAAGAGAGAAAGGGAAAAGAGAGAGGAAAAGATATGAAAGAGAACAAAAGAGGTAGAAAGAGAGAGAAAGGGGAGAGAGGGGGAAAGAGGTAGGGAAATAGAGAGGAAAAGAGAAGGGAAAGAGAGAAAAAGAGAGGGAAAAGGAAAAGAGGGAAAACAAAGAAGAAAAGATATAGAAAACGAGAGCGAAAAGAGAGAAGGAAAAAGAGAGGGAGAAAGCGAGAGAGGTAGAAAGAGGGAAAGAAATGTGGGTAATTAGTTAACTGTTAAATAAGAAAAAGAACAAGATAACTCTTTCAAATTTCAAATATGCCACAATTATTTTTTCTGCGGCAGCAATGCGTCGCTTACCAACTAGTACGGTATAAAGCTTTCATATAATTTCAAATATTTTTTTCTTATTCCTTAAATGGACGAAAAGAGTGTAGATGCATTACTAATTATATTTTCTTAAAAGAATGCATAAACACGTAAATGTATATATATTTGTATATTCATAATTATTCAGTTTTTCTCCGCAGATGTCAATCAAAACTTGCCTAAATTAAAATATAATTGAGAAAACTTCTGAAACGTTAGGTCAATGAAAAACCTGTGATTGTACCTTTCCATACTTTCTCTTCTAAATTGTTTTCTTCGAGAACAATAAAATCGTGACTTGAAACCCTACAAAATTGGATCATTTCCATTTCTTACTTTTGGCTGATACCAGGCAATAAGGAACGTCAACCGTACATTCCACAACGCTCAGAATAAAACCTCTCCGGCATATACGGAGTGTCATGTCATTTCTTTAGGTCCTTTGCACAATATAGGCATTGTCATGTCTATCTAATATCATTGCTACTCTCTGGTGACTTCTTTCTTCAACTGGTGAATACAATACATTCAGCTTCTAAGCGTTCTTTTGAATATTTGGGTTCTGAAAATAAAATTCAATGGCAATTTACGTTACCAGAAGTCAAGTCAAATGAAACAAGAAAGTATCATCATCAAAAAGATGTGTATTTGCTGACACGAAACTGAAAAGTAAGTTCATCTATCTAATGCATTTTCTTTTCTATAAGAATTATTGCATCATATAACCAGTTGTAGGTATGCTTGCGTGTACTATTCGCCCACTTTTTCTTCATACTGTTGGGGAAGGGAAAGGGTAAGGAAGGCAATAACCTCCACCACAGGCTATGCAAGCCTTTCGATCGGATCTAAGTGAACAAATAAGTAGCAAATACTTTGAATTCTCAAGATTTGTGACGAATTCAGTGTCGAATATACAATTAAAACTTTGATAAGCCGCAACGAAAGTGTATAAAAATCAATGAGTCCGCAAAGCTTAGTCCAAGGGGAACAGTAATATAAAGGATATCGGGTTTCAGGTTACCAGCCCTGACAAAAGAGCCTGCTGTTCTGAGTGGAACCTGCGAGTATGTTTGTGAATGGGCTCTGCTGAACCAGGCTGTGAGCCCGAGTATCAAGAAAAAGTGCGCGACTATCACGTACGCATCAATGTATGTAATCGTAAATAAATATTTTGGACAGAAAGACTTTGTTTTATTTTATAATATCTATTACCAACTACTACCTGATACCACATAGTATTTTTAGAAAGTGCACGATCAATTTTTGGTCGTTGTAGAAAGTCGCCAATATCTCTGCTGTTAATGAAATGAATGCTGTTAACCTGTTGGCGAAAAGAGTAGTCAGAGGGTAGCAATGATGCACGATAAGTGAAGCTCCTATCGTGCAAACGAAACTCCAAGATAGCACCATTTTTTGAAATGTATTGACCTGAATGAGCAATTGATGAAGTCGTCATGTGAGAAAAAGTGATGCTAAATGGAAATTAGATATTCATGACTAGTGGCGGATTTTGATGACCTAAAACGTAACTAAAAATGATTAATAAAATGGTTTTAAAATACTTTAAAATTTCCCTAAATTGAACATTTCTTCTTGCCATAACATAATATGAATGTCTATACTAAAAGGCATTGTTCTAAAGTGAAAAGAAAAATAATGTAATTTTATTAAAATCCGTGTCCTAGTTATGACAATAAAGTTGACTTTAAATATCTTGAAGGATTAATGTGCAAACAAGTTGTTAGTGGATGTTTATTTTCAATTTTAATCCATTAAACGAAAATATCCATTAACAACTTTTTTACTTTATCGCTTTACTAATTCTTCGTAAGAAGAGAAAGTTACATCATGCGCCAGAAAACACCGAAAGTTTGCTAGAAAAAACTTAATTGCCGGGTTCTAGTAACGAAATAGTAGATAAATCCTGTTGCTAAATGTAGAAAAAAAGCCTTTTAACTTGTGGTGTAGCCAGAATCCATGTTTTGTTGGTTCCTGATTCCGAAAAATCGATTGAGGGCAAAACGTGTTTGTCCGTCCATCTGTGGTCAACGCTAGCGGCTAAACCGTTCAGCAGATTTTCACCAAAATGATATTCTCCAATCGATCTAGTCGATGCCGCAGCCCCTGGAATTTGAAACCGATATTTTAATTTTGGGGTTTTTACATGAAGCTCCTCGAACATTTTCAAAGTTATTAAAAAAATGGTAAAATATCAGGATGGAGGCTGACTGAATTTGAAAGAATTCTGAAATTGTAGCATAAAGAGCTTAATTTAGTGTTCAATTCTTTTAAATGGACGTTCCATTTAAGGTTTGACTAAATTGAAAGACCTAAAAATTTTGTTACCATAACATCAGTTAATAGCACGCTATTCATTTTCAGTGAAATACCGAGCTGTTTATTGGAAATGGAGAACTGCATGGAAATAGTTTTCTTTTCATTTACTATTAATTTGTTATTACGAAACCAATTTGAAATATCTTCTGTTGTACTATTTATGGTTTCATTATTGCAAAGAATATTCGCGTCGTCCGCAAAGAGAACTGCTCTTCGGTTTCTAATCGTCGAGGGCATATCGTTTACTTATAGTAGGAAGAGAATAGGGCCTAAAATCGATCTCTGCGGGACTCCACATGCAATTGGCAAAGAATACGAAAGGTGTGTACATAATCAATGAAGCAATTGTAGTTGAAAATAATTATACTTAATATAGAATCTATTAATATTCTAAGTAAGCTGGAAGCGTCTATGTCTTTTACGTATTTTGAAATTTTAAATAATTAACCTTGACCCTTAATGGGATCTATACAGGCTACAATAAATTATAAATAAACAATCAAGTACTTTAATGACATTATAATGTGGATTATTGGAACATATTGTTTTACTTTGAGCCATAATACTCCATAAAACCGAGTCGAATAGTTAATCCTTAAAACTGTTTCTATAGTACTAAGCCATCATGTTAACTGTATCGGATTATGTGTCTATATCTATTCAACCTCAAATTAGAACTCAACACACTTCAATTATAACCAACTACTATCAAATTGAGACAAAGACATTCTTACTGATGCCGAGCTCAGAACAGACAAGGATAAATACGAAAAAAGTAAAAGTAAAACTTAGGATAATTTATTGGTTTATTCAACCTTAAAGAAACTAAAGGTAAAATCTAACTTATTATCCTTCTTGTATTCCTCCTCCCTTCTCTTCTTGCTCACTTTCTTCTTCTTCTTCTTCTTCTTCTTCTTATTATTATTATTATTATTATTATTATTATTATTATTATTATTATTATTATTATTATTATTATTATTATTATATTATTAATAATAATAATAATAATAATAATAATAATAATAATAATAATAATAACAATAATAATAATAATATTCCTCATCCCCTCCTTTTTGTTTTTCTTCTCCTTTCTCACTCCATTTTTTTTCACCTCATCCTTCTTCTTCGTAGTCTGCATTTGATTGGATTGTGCTGAACTTCAATGTCTGATGAGAATCTGAATGTGATTATTTTTAATATGATTGTGATGATTTCCAATTTGGTTCTCTTAATTCCGAGAGTAAAGGTAAAAAGGCAGTCGGGAGCACAAACCGTACGTCCCGATCTCTAGATTAGAAGACCGCTGGTTCAATTCGTAAGGGGCTTTGATATGTGGTCTCCGTGGTTTGCTTGATCACTTCCAGGCGAATTCTGGAGTAGCACCGTTGAACGATCACGCGCCATCCTTCCTTCCCTATCCAAATCCTGATTCCAAATCCTTGAGATCTATGAGCGATCAACCACCCTTTCAAATATCACATTTACTTCACATCTCTTCAAAAAATATCTAATGACGGAGGCTGATGTGAGTCACGTCACCATCTGATCTCACTACAATGCCTATGCCCGAGACATCCCAAGGTTCCAGCCCGGACGGTTGCAGGATTTTCGACACTACGTAGATCGTATTCAGCCGATGTCTGGAAGAAAAATTCTAGTTTCCCACGGATTCTCCAATCATTACAAGGCGAATTCCGGAGCAATATTCTAACAAAAAGGCCAGATTTCCTTCCTCTTTCTTGTCCTCTCCTCATCTCTTACTTACATCCACTTATACTTACATGCACTACACTACTACACTTGTCGGAAGACCAGGCGGGAACCGTTGAGAGATATCTCCCTGGATTAAAAATCTTGCACTATACGCACGGAAATCATTACCAAATCAGTTTTGAAGCCAGTAAATATGAAATAATTAAAGAAGATAGGCTGTGGCAAAAAATGTAAGTTCTGTTAAGCCACAAAAAATAACTCTCAATTCAATATGCTTTGTCTCAATTTGAGGTAGAAAAGGTACAGTCCTGCATTGACCAGGTAGAGATTGGTTGATTGTCTAAGCCCTCCCTGTAGTCTTCGCACGACGGTTAAGAGGCGCGGCGCGCGTGCGGGGGCGCAGGCGGGCGCTGACGACGGCGGCGCTGTCGGAGGCCCCGCCCGCTCCGCCCACGCCCGCTCCGGCGCCGGAGCCCGCTGCGCGCGGCGAGGGCCTGCAGGTGCGTGCGACGCACTCACGCGCCGGCCGCGGTAGCTCAGAGGCAACCCTTACCCCTGCGTCGTCCTCGCTTTCTGCCATCTTGCGTTTCTAGAATACGAGTTTCGACGGTGGCGGATTTTCGGCACTACCCAGATAGATAGGTCGAATTCAACTGCTGTCCGAAGGAGAATTCCAGTAGCTGCTCTCACCGGTAGTTTCCTGTGGTTGCTCCGATAAGCTCCCCGGTGAACCAGGTGAATGGCAGTAACACACGAGCTACAGGCCGCGCGCATTTTTCCATCCTCATTTCTGACCCTCTCCCCCCTTACCCACACACTTACATCCACTACACTACCACACGCGTCAAAAGACCAGCGGGGAGATAAGAGCTTCTCCTGGCTGGGGTGGCATCCCAATGGGGTACCTGGAGAGGACAAAAACACGGTCAGCCAACTCGTGGGTCGGCACTGCGTTTTATGGTCCAGAAAAGTAAGAATTCCGCCACCTCTCGTGAAAAAAAATTAGGCCAGATTTACGGGACTAATGACCTCAATAGTTGACACACCCGGAATCAATACTTACTGTCGAACTCAAGGCTACCGCATATGGAGTGCACTCTTTTGTTCTCCATGATGTATTTTTTTTAAATCAGTATTAATATAGCATATCTCGTTAACACGCATTCACAAATATATGTTTTACTACTTCTTCATAGTAACGGAAGTCCTATATCTGAATTGAATACGTAACAAATAACTATAAATCGTTAACAGAAATTAATTTTAAATTCAGCTAAATGAAAAATGATTTGCAAGAAAGCCTCGCCTGCGGAAAAACTATGATTTCTCCACTGCCTCTTCACACTTCTCTTTGCATTTTCTGCCTCAGTACCCCCATAGGAAGGTGTGAAGAAAAGAATGCGTCAAACAATAATGCACGCGTTATCAGTCGACTAGCTCTCCCCAGGAGAAGGCGCGAAAACACCAAACCTCTCACAATACTCCGCGTATTGTCAGCCAGCCAGTTCCCCCACGGAAAAGACGCCAAAAATTATGCCTGTAATACTCTTCAGCGTTCTCAGCAGGCCAGTTCTGTAACGCGAGCAGTTCTGTAACTCAGCAGGCGCGTTCTGTAGGCGCGAAAACCATTGCCTGTAACATTTTTCACGTTCTCAGCCGGCATGTTCCCGCGGAGAAGGTGTCAAAAACAATGTAACAATATCATTCCCTCTAACAAGACCTCTGGCGTTTTTAGCCGACTAGTTCCCCATAGAGAAGTTGCCAAAAATAATGCCTCTAACTAAACTTTGCGTTCTCAGACGGCCTGTTCCCAACGGACAAGTTGCGAAACAGCAATACGTCTAATCAACACCACCTAGTCGTACTACGTAATCTAGGTGGTGTTGGTCTAATCCTTTCGTGGTTCTCAGCCCGCCAGTTCCCCAAGGGGAAGTTTCTATGGCCTACAGACGTGTTCTAATTATAGACTAAAGGCATTTTTCCTAAAAGATGCTCACTTAATATACTTTACATTCATGTATATGTTCCACACATACGTTTAATACTGTTAGTGCTCGCGCCTTTGTTCTTAATCAACAACGTTATCCTGTTTGGCGTAATGTTTACCAACTTTCTACCTGAGCTTTTAATTTCTTCGTCGCGGTACCAAATCTCTAGTTTGTTCACGACTTCTTGAACATTTCCTTATTCTTCTCTTGGTAATACCCCATAAATTTTCTATAGGGTTCATGCCAGAGCTATTCCGTGGCCATGGAAACACTTTAAATTGCTTTTCTTGAAGACACTTTTGTCGTTGACGTACTGTGCTTCATCATACATAAAAATCCCATCTTCATTAGGGAACCACTCTAATTCGGAGGAAAAATTCCTTTTCAATTTTTTTTTGTATTGGTATTGCCTCATTGCCCCTTTGACAATTTACAAAATCTACCAGGGCCTTTAACAGACATCACACTTAACAACGTATCTCTCCAATTATATCATGGAACTTAGGAAAGACATGGTTTAGTGTAATAATTTGAACACGTCTGAAAATAATATTTTTGCGTTCTCAGCCGACCAGTTCCTCGCGCAGAATTTGCCAAAAAACAATGCCTCTAATCATTTCGCGTTCTCAGCCCGCCTAATTAATCCTTTCGCGTTCTCAGCCCGCCAGTTGCCCAAAGATAAGTTCCTAAAAAACAATGTCTAATTAATCCCTCACGTTCTCATCCCGCCAGTCGCCCAAAGATAAGTTCCTAAAAAACAATGTCTAATTAATCCCTCACGTTCTCAGCCCGCCAGTTGCCCAAAGATAAGTTCCTAAAAAACATTGTCTAATTAATCCCTCGCGATCTCAGCCCGCCAGTTTCCCAAGGAGAAGTTCCTAAAAAACAATGTCTAATTAATCCTTTCGCGT